GATTATGTACGCTATGACCTGTACTCGCCCTGATGTGGCCTTCGCTTTAAGCATGGTCAGCAGATATCAAGGGAACCCTGGTAGAGCACATTGGATTGCTGTCAAGAATATTCTTAAGTACCTACGAAGGACCAAGGAATGGTTTCTAGTCCTCGGTGGGAGTGATGACTTAAGGGTACAAGGGTACAGTGATGCTAGTTTTCAGACGGATCGGGATAATTACCGATCGCACTCGGGCTGGGTCTTTACCCTGAACGGAGGAGTAGTGACTTGGAAAAGTTCCAAGCAAGAGACCGTAGCTGATTCAACGTGCGAATCAGAGTACATTGCGGCAAGCGAGGCGTCAAAGGAGGCTATATGGTTGAAGAACTTCATTGGAGACCTTGGAGTTATGCCATCCATAAAGGAGCCCATGGAATTTTTCTGTGATAATGAAGGAGCGGTTGCCTTAACCAAGGAACCAAAGGATCATGGCAGATCTCGACATATCGACAGAAAATACCATTTTATTAGACATCGGGTAGAAGAGGGACTCCTCGTTGTGAAGAGGGTATCGTCAGAAAATAACCCAGCAGATCCCCTTACGAAGGGACTGAGTAGGGTCAAGCATTTGCAGCACGCTAGGAGCATTGGGCTAAAGGACGATATTAGTTTAGATTAGATAGGTAGGAAACTTGTAATGGATAATTTTGTATTCAACATTTGATGATTAAATAAAGGTGTGTTATTTATAAGAAAGGTTACTATCTTGTGTTGATTATTTATCTATTGTTTCTATTTTGCATGTTTTGACTTCCTGAATAATAATATTATTCGAACGGTCCACAATCGCTCATATGTTGGAAGTAGATATGAAAGAAGATTGTCATGAATTTGTTTGTAGATTGTCTAAAAGGTTTTAGACATAGCAAAGGTTTGCTACAAAGTTTATGAGTGCTTATGAAATATGATTTGAGCATTGGAATAAACCCGCACTTGCTAGTATCACTTCATGAAAGTTATCACGAGTGATCGCAAGATGATAATATCATATAATCTTTAAACCTAGAGATATGGTTATTGTTTGCTCGTTGATTATGCATTGATAATACGAAAACGCATCAGTAACTTGATGTTATAAACGTATTATTGTGTGTAACTTAGCTAGTCCATAATAAAAGCATATAAGTTGAAGTTTATCTATTCCTTTTATTCTAAGAGGATAAAAGCGATATCTTGGCCACTCGATGATTTGGTTTGACTTATGTGTCGGGCCCCGTCAGGATGAGGTTGATGTGTTCAACTGAATTCTATGTCGAACAAATCAGAGATCGAGAAACAAAATGCTGGACAATAAGTATTGTCGGCATGATATCTAGAACAGAGGATTATACGATCCCTTATCTGAAGGACAAGTTTTGATCAGAGTTGATAGAAGCGTATAAGAGCTACGATTGCTAACCGGATCGTGAAGTCGTATGTGAGATATAGTTACTAGACTTATCCAAGTGGGAGACTGTTAGATTAGTGTCTAAGCTCGTAACTATATTTGGTATGTACTTGACCCGGTTGAGCATGGTCCTTTTGGGTTGCCTTCATCAAAGCAACTAGACAAGGTAATTTATGGAGAGAGAGAGAGAGGATATTATGGTTTATTAATATATTATAAGAATAATATATTAAAGGAGAAATCATATTTAATTAGTATTAGTCATAAATTAATTAGGAATTAATTTTGAGACTAAAAGAGATTAATTAAATAAAGGGGCTTAAACTGTCAAATGTGTAATAGTTAAGTTTTAGGCTGGGAAACCTAATGGACTAAGGGGGAACGCAATTATGATGAAGGATCATCATATTTTTGTCCAAGGCCTTATTCCAGAAGGTTCCTTGGGCTGCTTGGTGGCTAAGTTGTTCATTAGGGTTTAGACTGAAACCCTAGCAGCCTACAATATAAATAGAGACCCTTGCTTGCAATTTTCGGACACTTGCTTCCAAGAGAAACCCTAGGGCCGATTTTAGCATTCTCCCCCCTCTCTCATAATTGCCTTCTTGCTTGTGGTGTTTGTAAGCCATTAGAGGAGTTACACTTGTGACTCTAAGCTCAAGAAGAAGAAGATTCAAGAGGTTTTCCAAGAGGTAAACTTTCAGATATGGTAGTATTTCAATATGATTAAAATATGTATGCTAGATTAGGGTTTGTAAGTCTTGGATTCAATTGCATGTACAATAGAGAAATCTAGATCCAAGCATTAGGGTTTGCATGAGTACATAGGAAAGTTCTTGTGTATAAAACCTATCAGGGGTATGTTGAGCACCTAGATATGCTCGGTAGTATCCGGTTGAAATAGACCGAAGGGGAGGTCGAGCACCCATATATGCTCAACAGTATCCGGTCGAAATAGACCGGAGGGGAGGCCAGCACCCAGATATGCTTGGCAGTATTAGTGTTTTAGGATTTCATGTATGGATGGGTAACTAATTGCTTGGATAATGCTAAGTCACTCACAACGGGATTGAATAATCTCAGAGTAAAGGATTTGACCTTGTTGCTCAGCTCTCGTTTGAGTCTAACCTTTGCAGGGATGAATATGTTACTCGAAGGATTATCTGAGCCTTCTGTCGAGTATGAGTGTTCCCGCTCGGTATATGGTCAGTGATTTTGCTCCGTCCGAGATAACAATGTGATCAGGGATTGGAAGCAATTTGTGTGGTGCGAGACTCTATGAGGATCGTTTGGTGGCAGACCTGGCAGGGAGTCAGGCCATTGAGACTTCGACTTCGGATAGCTCGAGGAGTTGCCAGGGCAACAACTAAGGATTTCTTGCGATGAACTTCAGCAGTGTGAGGTGAGTTACCTTCCCGGTATGAGTGGGTCGAAGGCACCAATGCCGACCCACTAGTAGTTGTTTACAATAGAGATGATTGTCATTGTGATAATTGTCTGGTATGCCACTATATGTTGAGATTTATGTGCTTGTATGCTATGTTGTTACGTGGTAGTTGTAGGGGTGAAATAGACCCCGTAACCGGTCGAAAAGACCAAATGGGTAGGCCAACACCTAGATATGCTAGGTAGTATGTGATTTATGTGTTTATATGCTAGGATATTATATGGTAGTGGTAGGGTGAAATAGTCCCCGTAACCGGTTGAAAGAGACCGAAGGGGTAGGCCAACACCCAGATATGTTAGGCAGTTATCGGTTGAAAGAGACCGAAGGGGTATGCTAGCACCTAGATATGCTAGGCAGTTATCGGTTGAAAGAGACCGAAGGGGGTAGGCTAGCACCCAGATATGCTAGGCGGTTACCGGTTGAAAGAGACCGAAGGGGTAGGCTAGCACCCAGATATCCTAGGCGGTTACCGGTTGAAAGAGACCGAAGGGATAAGCCAACACCCAGATATGCTAGGTGGTTACTGGTTGAAAGAGACCGAAGGGGTAGGCCAACACCCGGATATGCCTGACAGTATGTTTATTGTATGGTATGTGGTATGATGGGGAAACTCACTAAACTTCGTGCTTACGGTTTTCAAATTTGGTTTCAAGTACTTCTTCTTCAAAAGGAAAGGAGTCGGCATGATCGTAACGCATCACACTATGATTTTCCGCATATGAGATCTTTGGGAGTTGTACTCTGATAATATTTTCTATGACATGTTTTGGTTAATTGACATATTGGTTTTGATATGGATTGACACTATTGATGTTCCAGACTACTGGTTTTTATAATTACGTAATTAAAAAATAAAACTTTTGGTCATGAATTTTAGGATGTTACAAACCCCATATAAGGTTTTTGACACTGTAACACAACAAAGTTTGACAAATTTACACATTTAGTCATTCAAGTAACCGGTTGTTCCTGTATCAAGTCATATAATAATGTAATTAATAGGTAAAATTCAACTTTAATGGTCTATTAGACACAAAAAAACTTGAATGACTAAATGTGTAAAATGGTTAAACTTTGTTGTGCTACATTGCCAAAAACTCTACATATTTTTAAAAAGCTTCCGAATTTTTAAAAAGTTTATTTATTTATTTATTTATTATATAAAGTTAGAGGGTGTTTGGCTAAGCTTATTAAGGACTTATTTTTCGAGCTTATTTTTATAAGACCATTTTTTCTGATTTATTTTCCAACTTAAGAGTTTATTGTGACTTATACTAAGGTGGTGTTTGTTTTTCTGAATCCAAAATGTCCGCAGTCTGCTGACCATATCTGCAAGCCTCTGCAGCAGAAGAGGTGGACCAAATGTCTGCAGTCCGCAATAAGAAGTCTGTTTGTTTTTTAACGTCTGCAGGTACTGAAATACACTGATTTTTCAAACTTAATTTCATGTCATAAACATAAAAAAAACATTTTCAGCAAAAAAGATAGGCGGCGGAGAAAGGAAAAAAAGATAGACGACATTTTTTTTTGGTTAAGGTTAAAATGAAGCGTGAAGACCTTTGAAGACAGTGACCCATGTCTGCGCCAGGAAGACCTCATGCAGACGTTTTTTGATCTGCGCACTTTCGAAAAACAAACACTCTGCGATGACATATGTCTGCGCGGCGCAGAGAAAAGTGGTTGAGCAGATCTTCACAAAAAAACAAACAACCCCTAAGAAAATAATATGATCTTATGAAAAATAAGCTAGAAAAAATAAGTTTATAAAAAACAAACTCGAAAAATAATCCCTTAAATATCACCAACAACCTTTTTAACTTGTTTTTAAAAACACCAATAAACTAACAAGGGATTTTAGCAATCCCAGTTAGGCTGTGTTTGACGCGTCACAACTAGCTTATTTTTTGAGTTTGTTTATGTTGTCGTGTTTGGTAAGCCAAAAAATAGCTTATTAGCTTTCTTAAAATTTTCCAAATATAACCGTTAATTAATTATAGAACCACATACTCTTAGATGTCTTTTTATGTAATTTTATATATTATCAGCTAACATTTTATTTGTCTAGCTAAAACCTTAATCCCAATCACCCCTAAATCCATTTTTAAGTTGTCCGAGTCTTCTGGTTCATATCACTACTGATACAGGATAGAACTCAAAAATGTCGACTACATCGTTTATTACATGTTATTGCGACATGATCTTCACAAATGTATATGTCTGTGGTATTAGGCCGACGCATCATCATCAGTGGCAAGCCTCCAGTTTGTCTGCTTCTCATCGTTCTTCTAATCGTGGCATCTTCGGTGGTGCTATGCGTCGATGTTCGCTTATCAGCATAAGATGCCGCGGCAGCTCCGATTCTGATTCCGGACGAGGTTTTGGGCAAAGAGAAGACCCCTTACCCTCCTCCACTACCCCAACCCCAGCCAAGAACAAGGTCTAGCTTTTTTTTTTTTTTTTTTTCTCACACTAAACGTGGATTTGCAATCAGTTTCCCTTAATTTTGTATGATGCCTTTTGTTTTCTCGAGGATTTTCATTACCTGAAACCTACATATATCTTGTTCAGGCAAGCAAGGCCTCAACTAAGGATAGGGGTAAGGGTGCAGCTTCACCCCAGAGGTAGTATAATACTCTTATTCTTTCACACCATAAGTAGAATTAGCTAGATTTATTGACAGATAAACATACTTCTTTCATACATTGAGCATATATTATGATATTCCTATTGTAAGTTCCAAGTATGTATACCCTTTCAGGTACATCATGTTAATAATCTTTGACCACTCACTATGGTATGATTAATTATTAAACATTGCAGGAAATTAGTATCCCAGCAACCTGGGTCTATACGAAATCGTAAGTGAATTCATTCTACAACATCTATGATTATTTGGTGTCCCTTAAAATGAACACAAAACCTTGCATTATTTCAAAGTGTATGATTTTTCCTTTAGAGGCACCTGCAACAAATTCCAGTATGGATGAAACAATGAAAGGGATTTCCTTTGATCTTGAGTTTGAGGAAAGGCTTCAGGCAGTCAGAAGGTGTGACATTCTACATAACAATGGTGAAACATGCTTTAGTTTTAACAGATTTTTTTCCCTTTTAAACAGAGTTATTTGGTTTCATTGTACCTTAGGTCAGCATTAGACCAAAAGAAAGTTGAAGAGAAGAATGTATATGGAACAATTGATTATGATGCTCCAATTGCATCAGAGCCTAGCAAAATAGGACTTGGTACTAAGGTAACACCTTTATGAGTATTTAATTCATTTTCTATAAATGTATGGATTTCCATTTATTATTGACTAATCTAAAATGGAATGACATAGATTGGAGTAGGGGTTGCTGTTGTTGTTTTTGGGTTGGTATTTGCTCTTGGAGATTTTCTCCCTTCTGGAAGGTATGGTAATTTAATTAGCTTCTATATATTTATAATTACTTGCTATCCATATCCATAATCCACATATATATGCATTTTGCTTTTCAGTGTCGATCCAAACAAGGATGCTATTGTAGCAAAGAACACATTGTCACCAGAAGAAAAAGAAAAACTCCAGGTAAAGTTCATATTGGGAAGCTATGTGTGCTTTATTCATTTGATTATAATATACAATCAAATGTTGCTTCATTTTGTAATTAATCAGATACTGGAAAATGGTTCGTGCATTTGATAGTGAGGTTAAAGCCTCAATTTATATACAAAATGATTACCTAAACATGAAATGTGTAAACGAGCATTTTACAATCTAATGTAACCCTATTCTACTTATATCTTAATACATATGGTAAGAGATTCTATTTCTGAATATATATATATATATATATATATATATATATATATATATATATTTTAATTTGTTGCAGGAAAGACTACAACAATATGAGGCAACACTTACAATCTCCCCAGATGATCCTGTTGCTCGTGAAGTAAGTCAAAAATTCAAAATAAAGTCTGCTGGAAAATACATTAGTTTCATTCTTATAATTTGCTTCTTGCGATTTAGATACTTTCATATTAGTTTTATATCTATTTTTTTTTTCATTCTTATAATTTGCTTGCTTCTTCACATGAGACAACTTCCAAGTATTATTATCCAAGTGGTTTTGCAGGGAGTAGCAGTAACCTTAACAGAATTGGGAGAGTACACCAAAGCGGCATCCATGCTTGAAGATCTGACCAAGGTTGGTGTTATTAAGTCATGTACACAATTTAAATAGTAAATTCCTTTATATTTATGTACATCTGATTATGTAATAATTTACAATTTGGTTGTTAGATGAAACCTAGCGACCCTGAGGCATTCCGTTTACTTGGAGAAGTAAAGTTTGAAATGAAGGACTATGAAGGTAGTGCTGCTGCCTTTAGAAGTTCAGCTATGGTCAGTGTGCCCTAAAAAGTTGTATCATTATAAACATATTTGATGACATTAGCTTGTTTTTTTTTCATGACATTGAATGGAAGATTCATAATACTGTCCACAGTTGTTGTCTATTGACTAACAGATGTCGAATAAAATGGATTTTGATGTTTTGCGTGGTCTCACGAATGCATTGCTTGCTGCTAAGAAACCTGATGAGGTAAATCATTGCTACTTTTGAACATAGTATAAGTAATTAAGTATAGTGATTGGCTATTAATCAAGTGTCTAAAATATTCTTGAATGATTAGATCACATTAACCATAATTGTTTTGAGGTTGTTAATAAGTTATATTTACTGTATATATAGGCTGTTCAGATCCTTCTGACATCTCGCAACAATTTGGAAAAAGAAAAGGCAAATCAGGCTGATACAGAGTCTCAAATTGACCCTATTCAAGTGAGTTGCTACTTTGCCAGTCTTTATTTTCACATAAATGACAGTTTCACCATGCATACCTTTCAAAATATATATTTTTTCATCAGCAATATGTCATAGTATATGTTATGACAACGTAGAAATTTAACCATTGCTGAACTAAGAATATTCAGACAAATACCATGGAGAACTGGAATTCATGTACTTTTGGCTAAATTAAGTAGATGATTAGAGGGAGATTGCTTGGGGAATATTCTATATATCTTCATGTAACTGGAATTTATGCACAACTAATTACTTTTTTCTTAGATTGAATTACTTCTTGGAAAAGCATACTCAGACTGGGGCCATGTCAGCGATGCCGTGTCTGTGTATGATCAACTCATCTCTAGCCACCCGGATGATTTTCGGGGTTACTTAGCAAAGGTCAAAAACATTTCCCCATGCTGTCTTAAGTTTCAGTTATCTATGTTTTTGGTTGAAAATGTGACTTGTTATATTGCGAGTATGACAAAAAACTGAGAACATGGTTACATAATTTAAAGTTGCCTGTTGACTTTTGTTACTTGGTCATTTCAAATTTCTTATTGATTTGACTTTTGTTATATATACACCTCTGCAGGGAATTATTCTAAAAGCAAATGGAAAATTTGGAGAGGCGGAGAGAATGTTTATACAAGTGAGTATTGATTGTTAAATATGACAAAAGAACAGGATATAAAACATCATTTTACCATGAAGATTTTTTCGCACAAGTGATTGGTAAATGTTTTTATTTACAGGCTAGATTCTTTGCACCAGAGGGAGCCAAGGCAATTGTGGATCGCTACTCGAGATAATAATGGTTAGATGGCACATTTTAGCTTAGTACAACTGTTGTGCAAGTCTTGAGGTTGCCTTATGTGGATTCTGTAAAGTATAAAGACTTGAACATGAGGCAGCTGCTTATATAGTGTTACCATGATGGGGTACTTTGTCATTTTTTGATTAGCAGTAAACAATAATATGTATTCATTAATTGTTGCTGATTGGGGAGATCATGCAAAGTAATGTGACCTTGTCTCCTCTTTACTTCCTCACCTTCAATCTTTATATAGGAAACATGCAGTGAATGTTTTCATCGCATTTTTGTGCCCTCCACATTTCATCCTCAACTAGCAGATAAGTCCCATTACATAAAAATGGAAGTAACTATATCATTTCCTCATGTGATCCCCATATTTCACTAGAACTCGGTCCTTGTTGTCTTTAATATACCTTACAGGTCATATGCCTCTTTTCATCCTCTTTGGATTTCATGAGCTTGTAGATACCATTTCCTTCATCTTTTTGTGTCAAATCTCATGTAAATCTCTTCATAAGCCAAAGCCTTTGCATCTCATGTAAATCTCTTTATAAGCCAAAGACTTTGCTTTATCCACTATTTTGTTTTCTTTTTGCTTCTCAGTTTCAGCCTCATATCTTTCCTTCACCCTAACCCTTTCCTTATTCTTGCTACTCAATAATAACCCCTTAAAGCAAGTTTGTTTACCTTAACATTATTTTTGACCTCCTTGTTCCACTACTAAGACTCTCTTTGCTCTATAGCCTTCCCTCAGGGCCGACCTTATGTAGAGGTTTTTTAAGCTAGAGCTTAGGGCCACTAATTCTAAAGGGTCCTATATTCTCCAAAGTCGAAAAGTTTAGTCATTCGGTAACCACAATATAAATCAAGCGAAAGAATAAAATCAACGGTCGCTGCACTCATAAAACTGAAATGATGTTACAATCTTCTACCGATTTTGATAATTGCGACACATTCATCTCACCAGTTTCTGATTTCCGAGTGGCCCAATCCGATGCAATATACATTCATCTCCTATTCTTCTAACTTCTATCTTGATTCTCGATTCAAATCCTCATCGGTATGTGTTTCACTTTCGTATTCTGTTACTGTTAGATTGTTTTTCTTTTCTTAATCTATTATAGTATTCTTCTATCTCGATTCTCGATTCTCTATTAGAAGATTTCTACATGGATTATCATTTATTGAAATGGATATAACTAAAATCACATATTATAACAATTTATTTATGGATCTTATGACTCAATACGGGTCTTTGCATTGCTTTTCAGTTATTTTATGGCATCAATAGTGATGGAAAACTATATAAGAATTTGATGCATAACAACTTTAAAAGATACGATTTGAGAAATAGTTTAAGAATCAATTAAGGATTTCAAGTTGTTCACCTAGAATAACCATGCATCCTTGAGCATACTCAATGTTATAGAAAGCACAATATAGGGGTGATTTGATTAAAGCACAATATAGGGGTGATTTGATTCGTAGTCAGATCACTCTCAATTATTTTATTTGATTAAAATATAGCTATGTGATTGGGCTATCTAGTCCTAAATACCATAAGTTCTTTACAGTGAATGATAGGTTTTATTAACAAGTTTGTTATGTACTATTTGTTATATTAGGTGTTATAAGAATTATATATAATTTTTTATCAAATGCTTGTTGATTTAGGTTATTACAACAGGAAAAGTCCTTTATACCATACTAAAATTGTCCATGAAGAAAACATAAAGAGTGAACTTGTATGTGAATACAATTTTCAATGAAAAGTCCTTTATTAACAAGTTTGTTATGTACTTTTTGTTATATTAGGTATTATAAGAATCATATATAATTTTTTATCAAATGCTTGTTGATTTAGGTTATTACAACATGAAAAGTCCTTTATACCATACTAAAATTGTCCATGAAGAAAACATAAAGAGTGAACTTGTATGTGAATACAATTTAGGAGTATAGTAAAGGCCAAAGGTCCCCAAAATTTTGGTTTGTTTAGAGCCCCAAAATTAGTTGAGCCGCCCCTATCTTCACCGTCAACACACCAGAGTGCTTATGGTCGCCTCTTTGATGGTGTTTGGCTGTTGGCGACATTATTCCATAACATATTAGCATTCATTGAGTGGACGGTTTCAAAATCCACTTATGAAACAACCCTATCCTTAATCCTCACTTGCCACACCCTTTAAGTCGTTCTAAAGACTCCTTATTTTAGCTACCTTATAAACAAGCGAATGGCTATGGCCGGTCCTGATGAATTAAATATCCTCAAAGGCCTAGCACGAGCTAGAAAAAAATAGCTCTTATCGCTGTTATAAGTTTTTATTTTTAAATAAATAAATATATATAATATATAATAAAAAAAGTTAGACCATGTACAGCTGTCTACTTTGCCCCTCCTCAACACCCCCATGCGTATGGCCACCGCTTTGCATGCCTCGTATGGGAACACTTTGTAATCTATGCATGAATGAACTATATATCATAATGTCGATTTGGGTGCATTGTAATCAAATGCACATTGACCCCTTTTCTAAGAATACTACCTTGGCATCCTTTTTAATTTAAAACTCATGAAGAGCACTACTTTTTTTATTTTTAAAATAAAGAAGTTGCAATTATTAGGTATATAATTATAAATTATAATCAATTTGTAAATAATTTTTTAAAAAAAAGCAAGTGTTACAACTGTTCACTTTTTTTTTTTCAAAAAACCAGTAATTATTTTTTCAATAAAATCATTTAGATTTATTAAAATATCGTAAAAGCCATCTTAGAATTATAAATAGTGCCTTCTTAAGAAAGTTAACAAATTTCCAATGACTTTATGAATATTTAAGTTATAACAAAGTTTTATGGCTTTTTATAGAAAGTTAAACAATTCCTAGATATATTTTTTGTTTTGCTTTCGAAGATAAAAGATACTAAGATCACTTTTATGAAAAGTTATAAAATCAGTTTCATAGATTTTCTTTTCAATAATAATTTTTTGGTAGAAAAAAAAAAAGCAACATAGGAGTATAATTTATCTCCTAGCATTTTAATTTTTCTTATTAGTTTATTTATTTTAAATTACCTTTTAATTAAAAACTCTATCAACAAATGTGCATTACGGATTACGGTAATCGGTTTTCCTCTGCAAAGTCGCTGTAAACAAAGTACGCAACGTAGCCCAAAAGGGTCCAAAATGTGAAGAGTGTAACGTCGCTGAGGAGGTTCGGCCTTTTGGGTAGAAAAACGAAATGGGTTGATATGGGCCGAAAACGATAACCCTAAGTCCCTAACCCGGCGCCCACAACATCACTAATCCTTTCGCTACAAAAATTGAAACTGACAAATGATAACTTCGAGACTGACGTCGGTGGCTGCTAACGGAATATACGACACGACTCCATAACCTAATAATATCTCTTTCAAACCGGGACGGCGGACGACGACGACCTGAAACCAAAATATCTACACAGACGACGGAGGGTGGGGGGCTCACCACCCTAACAAAATGACCCAAAAATCTCCATCCCAGCCCCAGGCACATATTTTCCTCCCCCTTTTTAGCATAATTTTCACGCCTGAAAATATCTATCTGCTTTCCTATTGTAATCTAACGCTTTTTTTTATTTTATTTTCTTTTTGTTCTTTTTGCAATGGACCAGCAGCGAAAGAGCTTTTGCACAATGGCTGATGTTTATGGAGTGATCTTAGACTCTCCGAACCTCCATAAAAACCTCGACCTTGTTTTCTTGGGTCATCATCACGCCAAGGACGACGATTCGTTTCAGTTTGATTTTAAACTCCCCGATATTCGACGACCAATCACTGTAAGTTTTACTCTATTTTACCCAAAATCTCGGTGATCAACACTAGCTATTGTCAAAATCACGCATGCACACTGATCTTACACTTCGATTTGTTTTTTTCCCAATTGATTTGGAATTACGCTACTTTTCATGATTATGTTCGTTTTTGAAGTTGAAACGCGGTAATATCTGATTTGATTGCATGTCTCTTGAACCACATTCCGATCACTTTTTAAAAGCATCTATGCGCGTCTTCTTGATTAGTTTTGCTAGCACCAATTTGTTTTTACAAATTGAATCTAAATATCTAAATTTTGGCTCAGAAATTCGTAAGGACAAGAGAAGTAGGAGAATTTCTTAGTGGTGCTTTAGCAGGTGCTATGACTAAAGCTGTTCTTGCTCCTCTTGAAACCATCAGGCATGTCTTCACTCTTTAAATCCTTAGATACAGTAAAAAAAAAAACAAAACCCAGAAAATTTACATGAGATTAATACAGGACGAGAATGGTGGTTGGTGTTGGATCGAGAAAGATATCTGGTAGTTTCTTGGAAGTGATTGAAAAACAAGGTTGGCAAGGACTTTGGGCTGGAAATGCAATCAACATGATACGAATTGTTCCAACACAAGCAATCGAACTCGGAACATTTGAATGTGTGAAACGAGTAATGACATCAGCAAAAGAGAAATGGAGCAAAGAAGATCCAAGTGTGCAGATTGGTCATGTTAAATTAAGTTTTCCCCTCTCATGGTTGTCACCGGTTGCCCTTGGTGGTGCAGCTGCCGGATTTGTCAGCACCCTTGTCTGCCACCCTCTTGAAGTCCTAAAGGTAATTGAGGGACCCATTAGAACTCAGTAGTTAAGCGTGCTAAAGCAATACAAATGGTATCAGATATTGATGTTTATAATTTTTTTTTGCTTGTATACACAGGATCGGTTGACTGTAAGCCCGGATATATACCCTAATTTGAGCATTGCAGTTTCAAAAATCTATAAAAATGGTGGGATTGGTTCTTTTTACTCGGGTCTTTCTCCAACGTTAATTGGAATGCTGCCATACAGCACTTGTTACTATTTCATGTACGACACTATCAAGAAGTCATACTGCACAGCTCAGAACAAAAAATCCTTAAGCCGACCGGAGATGTTACTTATAGGAGCTCTTTCAGGTTTGTGTTTTTATTTCCGTTACTAGATATTTTGTTTGGTTCTAGGTTTGACTAAATGTTTTGATTGGTCCTAGGTTTGACTGCAAGTACTATAAGTTTTCCTTTAGAGGTTGCAAGAAAAAGGCTGATGGTGGGAGCATTGCAAGGGAAGTGTCCACCACACATGGCGGCTGCACTTTCGGAAGTGGTGAGGGAAGAGGGGTTGATTGGGTTATATAGAGGATGGGGTGCAAGTTGTTTGAAGGTGATGCCATCATCTGGTATCACATGGATGTTTTATGAAGCTTGGAAAGACGTATTGCTTGGTGACAAACATCGAGAATAATATTATGTTGATTTAACCAAGTTTTAACCTGATGTACCAAAATGTTCTCTTTTATTTTTTTTTTCTAATCAAGAAGAGAACACTTAAAATATGTGTGTTTGAATGTCGGTTAGAGCTTATTAGCGAGTTATGTCATCATGTTTGTCTCTATTCCTAAGTTTGGTCTTTTGCATTAGTTTATTAGGTCATGAACTTGACCTCTCATCTCAAAATACAAATTATAAGTAATGTTGGTCTCTTAACCAGACGCCGCTCAAAATTGTAAGTCCTGATCGGGACCATAGGACCTGTCCATCCATCATATAATTGGTCTTGTGCCTGATCTCGGTCCAAATTAGATATGTATTTTGTTCTTTTATTAATGATGGTGTTGTAAGTTGTAACACGTATCTTCGGACCTATGTCATGAATGTGGACACATGCCACCGCAATTGCCTCCAGGTGCTCGGTAGGGAATTCCTCCACATGTAGCAACATGAGATTCAATATCCACACAACATATTTATATAAACATGTGTAAAGCATGCAAAGGCCAATACGTAAAATAAATTGGTATTGTGACAACTAACATCTTTTATTAGTCTCAGTTAATTAGGAAGGTGTTGGACCTTTTTTGAGGTTTACTTATTTTAGAAGGTCAAAGTGGGAAAGTAAAACTCAAACAAAAGTTAGTTGTGATGTTCATAATAATTACAAGATTTTTATAAAATTTAAAATTTAAAAATATTTTTTATTTTAATCTTTAAAATCAACCGAAAAATCTACATGGACGTCATGTCAGCGCCACATGAGTCACTTCAGTTGACCAAAATGTCATGTGGACGCAAACTCGTCTAGACAACTAGACGACCCATTTATTTTGAGAATATTTCTCAATTTAACCCGAAATTAAAAAGTTTTAGGAGCCACAATGGAAAATAAATAAATAAATCCAATGATCATTTAAAACCAAAGACAAAAGTTGGTTGGAGGATACAATGATATTAACCCTAACACAGAGAACTCTATTTTGGGGGGAAGAAAAGACTCAAGAAAACACAAAGTTCTACCTTTGTGTGCATGTATTTATATTGTAGATGCAATTTTGAACTATATCAATTTGTATAAGCAAAAACTCTATTTTAGGGGTACGTGCATTTTATATCGGTCATGTGGTGTCTGGAAAGTTGTATAATAATATATTGTACCTCTTTAGATATTATAGACAATGAGGAGGTGTTTGAGATTATTTTAGAATAACTTTTGGTTTTTCACTTTTCTAAAAAGTCAAAAAAAAAAAAAAAAAGCTGTTTGGATAATTCCAAAGTTTTTTTTTTGTTATTTTACATGTAAAAGTTAAACCAAAAGTTATTTTGCTAATCCAAACATATTTTAAAAAACTTCTTTTGCAAAAAGTCATTTTACAAAAAGTCCTTCTATAAAAAAGACTTTTGATGTTCAAAAGTAATCCCAAACATCCCTAACTATCATAGATGGGTAATAAAAATATGGAAAAAAAATATATTATGAAGAGATTGCTTTTCTATAATTATATATTTTTATAACTTGTCAATGATTCTATTATGATATATTTTTATAACTTGTCAATGATTCTATTAGATTTAAGTCAATTATTACACTTTTGGCCTATATAAAAGGATTTAGATGACCTACTAAACATGTAGTAGATATAAAAATTTCCAATGTAATTTATGTCTAAACATAAACTATCGTATATTTTTAGTTTTAAAATGTTATGATTTTTGTGTATTTGAAGTAACTTCAATAACGATAAGAGTTATGTAAGTCATATATCTTTATACTTTAATAATCATTTAGCCTCAAATGCTGAATTTTAAAAGGTACACACCTTAAAACATCTTTACAACAAGTTTATACATTGCAAATAGGTAAATCTTATAGGATCGGTATTTGAAAAAGTCAACAATATGTATGACTTATTCTATCCTCTATTTTACTAACAGTTAAGGAATTTAAATTTTAAATGATACGATAGGTTGTTAAGATAATAAGATAACATTGATTATTTCTACATAACTTATCCATTCAAATTGAATCGGTCAATCCTTCTCATATACCTTTAATTCTAGATGCCTTTTGATCTCATCTCTTCCTAATATATAGGCCCTTCCCCTTATTTCTTATCAAAAAATTGAATCCAGTCCTTTTCAAAATCCTCTGCAGCCCTAACATATCACCTCTCTCTTAAATGATTACTTAAGCTACAACTATGCATAACCACAAGTCCATAACCGTTGACGGCGTTCGACCTCCTTCCACCTTAATCCAATCACAGCCAGGGCTACTATACCTCCTTCTCAGCCGCCCACTCCCCTGCTTTTTCTTCTTCATCATATCCCTTTCAAAAAATACAGACACCCCTGGAAAGCATAACACTTACCACTATCGCCTTCACTTTGAAGGTTGACACAACCATGCTCTTTCTCTCCAATAACACTAGATCAAACGTTGCTCATACCATCTCCATGTATGAACCCTGGAAACCATCTCCATCATCAGTTAACGACCCACCACCACCATCGTCTTTTTTTCAAAAGATGAAATCAGCCAAATTGAGGCACCAATATGTTTCCCAGTCTGTTGTTTTTGTTGTTATAGTGTTTTTTCATCTTTATTGACATTTCTTCTATGTGAAGCTCTTTGTCCAGGAGATGAAGCTGGAAAATATGCCACGAGGTCAAGTTTCATAGTTGGAGTTGTCCATGTAGCAGGTAAATGTATCACATTCATGTAACCTCTTTTCTACCAGATTTAGATTTGGGCTTGGTAAACACCATGGTTTTAAACATGTTCTTATTTTTCTGATTAGGACTTGATGAACACCTATACGTGTTATACAAACGAATTTGTTTTGTTGACTTTTTGCGTTTCTTTAGCTTATAACTCTTGAAATAGGGTTTTATGATTTCCCAGTCCTGATTATTGGTATCTCAAGTTCGATTTTGGTGAAGAAGTCCATATCTCCCTTCCATCTCCATCCACACTACTCATAGTTATTTTCCAAATATTGACAATTTTTGTTTTCTATTTATACTTTCAGCCATTGAGTGGATATTTACTTTTTTTTTTCTTGGTTAAAGTTAGGATTCACCTGACGGGTTTGGTGTTACAAGATGCATACTCCTTTTTCGTTTCTTTTTGTGTCTGCTGTGAATATATTTAATTTTATTTGTAGACTATTTATTGTTGTATGAGTCAATTTTATTTGTAGGCTATTGATTGTTGTATGAGTATTTCAGAATGTTCCTTTAGATGGGCTTCACTCTAGCTCCGGTTAATTAGAAACTTGTAAGTGAAGATGGGTTTGAGGATTGTTCACTTTCTGCTTCAGTGTCCCCTTTTTCATTTTCCCTAAGTATGTACTATGAAATTTTATTGGTCCTCTTTATGCCTTTTTCTCAGAGAATATAACACCACAAAGTGTAATTTCCTTCTTTAACCGGCTTAATGGGCTAACATGTACGTAGTTAACTATTTTTTGTGTATAACTTTTTAGGTATTTATGTTGAATTTGGAAGGATTTCACTATTTCAAGTGTCAATATGGATGGGCTTCCTTTATACCACAGGTTTTGATCTTTTTTTAACCTAGGCTATGACATGTGATTTTCATGAGAGGCTTTCGCACGCTATGTTCTTAGACCTACTTCTTTTCAATTACGTTAAATCAAGAAAATAAACAAATTACTTTTATTTTTGTGAAGTCGTTACTTTTTCTCTATTGTTGGTAACGAATGTCATCTTTTTTCAAATAAATTTGTTGAAATTACTTGATAGATGAAGTCATGTAGCTTAAGGAGTCTACCCAAGATTTGTTTATGTGCTTTTATTATTATTATTCTACGATTTGATTGCAAAAAAAATTGTTTTTTCTTTTTAATTTAAAAATGTATTTGTTGTCACTATCTTGGTATCAACTTTTACAAAATTGTGAAAGGTTTATCCGAGCTTAAACGGTCCAAGTAGCATTCACTCAAAAAATGGGAAGGCATGTTGTCATTTTAAGTTACTTCACAATAAGTATTTCGAGCTTTATGATTATCAGGGTAATGGTCTTTGCCATTTTTATGTTAGAAATGTGAGGTCTGGAGCTTTTACCATCTTTTCAAAACTAGAATATCCATATAAGTCCAAGGTTATGCTTTTCTTGACGTAATATTCATAAGCTTTGCATTAATACTTCTCATTTGCTTTATTACTCATATAGTATCTCATTTTTTGTATGGTTCGAACAATCCTGTGATGTTGAAGATGCCATCAGGTGTCGTGATGGCTATGACAATGCTCATGGTTGAGCTTCATACGGTTGCTACATATTAGTGAAAAGTAATTAGAATTTCAATCTTTTATGCAGCCTCACTCATCGAGTCTTCCTACTTCTTGCCTATATTGTCTCGGTTTGTTATAGCCAATGAGTGAGAGCTATAGACGATGAAGTATTAAATCAAATCCACCTACCAACTAGCTGCTTCCCAATGATGAAGATGATGCATTTCAAAAGATGGTTTCTAAGGCTTTTAGTACCTATGATTGAATTTAAATTCCCTTACACAGTTACTCTATATTTCATACTTGCAGAAGTATTTGCAATTTTTATTTTATGTTTGTGAATGTGAAATCATAACTTTCCAAAGCCTTAATATGTTATACTTAATGGAGTTGGATTTCTTCCATACAATGGCTATGAAAAGTACACAAGAAAATAAAAATATTATAATGTTCAATTCTTTTTCATATCAAAATGTCCCACCTATCAAATTATAATGTTCAATTATGTAAGTTTAAAATGTTCAATTGTCTTCAATTTAGTCGATATTTTAACTATGTCACGGTCCAACTGGTTCGACCTACCGCCTTGGACTGTGGTATTAAAACGTTGATAATAATAAATCATTCAATTTACAATATACACTAAAAATATTTTAAGTTTTTCATAAACGAAAATTACAAATATGTCTCCCATGGTATATTTTTTATTTT